CTACATGGCCTTGCCCCCGTGAAATCTGTGGGAAAGAGGTTTAGCGGGCAGTGTTACTCACAGTGTAGTGCCCATAGAGTGTTAGTTTCAATTCACAGTATTCACAGTATAACAGTATAAAGCAAGTATGTTTTTTTATGTTTGTGATCGCAATTTTGTATTTTGTATTCAGTTTGATTCTGTGTGTTAGCTGGTGGGCAAATGTTCGAGGTGAAAATTATTCCACAAGGAGTGTACCTTTAAAGTGGAGAAGACAGCACCAAACTTTTTCGGCTCTGTATGTTCTCAAACTGTGGTACGCATACTAGGTGTGGTACGTGGAGCGCCACCAGGTGGTACACCATGTGACCCTGGAATTTTGTTGTGTGCACTGAAAAATTGGGACGAGTTTTCATATTTTCTTTTTTAATAAAATTAGTTTGTGTCAAATACACAGCCACGTACTACGATACAGCACGTGCTAATACTTGAGTGGACACTATGTATGTATGAATGCGTGCTATGAACGCAAGTGACCAATTGTATTTGAAAAAGTTATCTCCAGCAAATGGGGATATAGGAGAATGTGTGTGATTTGGAACAATGCCAATGTTGTAAGCATAGGAAAGCATAGAAATGCGTGCTGTGAATGCTGGTAAGCACAGGAAAACGTGATAGATAACAGAAAAATATTTAAGAACTGTTCTAGGATAATTTGATAAAAATACACAGAGTGTCTCTGTGTTTCGCTTCCATGCACATGAAATAAAAACTTCTTTTAACTTCTGAGGCAAACTCCTGAAATGGAAACGGGGAAAAATGCAAACTTGGGGATTGCTAAAGCAATTAAGCCCCACACTACTTGTGAAGAACTTTGTTAACTTTCGGCAAAAGAGCTGACACGTACTGTATTATGTGTGAAAAAAAGCTGGTGAAGAGCTCGACATGCTGCCCCCTCTGAAAGATACAGTCACTCATAGAATTATTGATATGGCGAATGATCTCAAAAGTATGCTGATAGAGTGCGTTAAGATGAGCAGATGCTTTCCACTGGAATTAGATGAGTCTATAAATGTCATTGATTTGGCCAATTTGTATATTTACTTTCTATACTAGTTTGAGGGCATGTCCCAAGAGGTCTTTCTGTTCTGTAAGCCGCTGCCAACAGGAACTACAGGAGAGCACATATTTCAGCTTCTGAATGAATTTATCGAAGAGAATGGCATCGACTGGATAAAATGCATCGAAGTTTGTACAGATGGTGCTAGAGCAATGACAAGCCGACACAGTGGTGTAGTTGCACGAATTAGAGAGGTTGCTCCAGAAATGAATGGACCCATTGCAACATCCAACATATTAATCCATATTAATATTATATAGATAAGCGAGTTCATATTATATTCCCTATTTAGCCGATTCTAAAAAGTAGGAGTTTTTTTACTGCGATAATGATAACTTTCGAACTTTCTAAGTCATAGAAAAGGTTAAACCATGGAAGGTCTAGAACACCCTGTCTCAAAAATAGACATTTTATAAATTGAAGTTTGTGAAAACAGTGACAAATAACCCAAAATACAATTTTAAAATACAAGCAGTTTGAAATTATTAGCTGTTATTAATAAATCACTTAACTTTGAACATGTTGTAATATTTAG